TAAGTCACAGACATTAAAAGCCGGGGTATTTTTATGAGGATGGTGATTCTGATCTCAAATTAAACCTAATCCAATTTTATATATGTGTGTAAACATATCTACTATTTGCGGCTTCACTAACTATATGGATACTGATTGTAAAAAATCCATTATCCCATGGGGGTCGTTATATCGCCATAAGATTTAATACGCAAAAAGATCTTTCATTTGAAATGTCCAATCCGATGCGAGTTGGTACATGCATAATTTACTACTGGTATATAATTCAGTGACCAAGACACACCTTTTAATATCACCTAGAATTGGTTGACACGTGGACAATAATGACAATTTAATGAAGTTTGCTACGTGCAGAAATACTCCAAATCGATATTTTCTTTGTGTCCATTTTATTAAGAATATATTCAATTCAGCAGAATTAATAAACTGTGATGAACATGTCTGACAGTTCTATGGAGTTCCTGCATATACAGAGCAGTATCTTTTCTTATAATTTGGAATTAATCGATTCAAATAATTTGAACAAAAGAAACAACTCTTTAATTGAAATAGCATTCCTTTTCACCTAGACGTGTCTTTCCCTCGACATGACAAGTGGTTAGCCCTATCTGTTTGTGTAAATCATATCTGCGCGGGGTATTAACGGTATACCTGACCTGTGTTTCCTAGTCAATGCAATATAAACGACTAATTATATAACTGATATTCATAACTTTGCATTGTGTTCTTATAGCGTGCTTTACTTCAATAGTGCATATACTGTACATATATAATAGCGTGAAAGACAATTCTGTGTATATCATTAATACATTGTTAGTGTAAACGCTCTCTTTAATGCGAGTTTACCAACAAAGGGAAAACTTAATCTGAATGTGAGGACAAATTTAACATCATTATATGGATTGTCACACTTATTTGAATTTGTCTTTTGGGGAAAAAAATTGTGTGTGTATTTAGCAATGTTTCATATACGAATAATACGTTTAGTTGACATATATCGTTCGTAGAGCTCGGGATAATCGATATCTGTCGTTCCCGATCCCTGTGGGCACATTAATAATTTACTTATTGGTATAAACTAGTAGAAACAAAGCACATATGTATTCAAAATGGTTCACACCTGGACATTGATTCAAGTTGATTTTTGGGCGGCTCAAAACACTAAATGACCTAAATAGCCGGTATAAGAGTTCATGTGATACGTCTTAGAATATAAGTTAATGCTTCAACAATGTTAAAATATGAATGCGATGACATTGAGTTACAATTCAATCTTTTTCATGTGAACAAAAGCAACAAAACCCTTTCTATAGTAATAAGGAATCTCCCCTAAAAGCAAAGTCCATTGCACATTAACTCATTTTGTTGAAACGTTTTACGCACAATAAACATGTTTGAATTGAATAACAGAATATATTGTCTTTGCATTCCAAAGATCCTCGCTTACACCAGCTTGTTCATTCGTATACAGAAGGAACTGACACAATGGAGAACATCTTTGTATACTATTACCTATATTACACGTATGATTATAGTCTTCTACATTACAGTAGCAAAGCCCAATCGCGAGTAGATAAGTTCCAATACTGTTAAAAATAAAAAGTCAAAGCCATAGAATAATCAGTCTCGTATAAAAGATTCCATTGGCAAAATAGTGGGGGAAAGTATATGAATAGACCACTAAAAATCAGAGATGACGCCACACACCAGATGAAAATACAATACAATAACCCAAATAAGATACACTACAAATATCAAATTGTGACCACATCTGCGCATGTAGTTTGTATGATAAATAATAATCCAGTATGATTAATAAACCTTATTAACAATATAACAGATACATCTGAAAGGGTTTCAACATACTTCACATTTCTGATTTGTCCAAGATCCCCCACAAACGCCACATTACTACTATTTATCTTTGGTAGGTCGGGTTTCTTCCTCTTCTCTGATGATCTGCCACCATCAAGCTTGACTCATTTATATTTTGTTTCCTCGCGATAATGCTTAATGAGTTCGGTTACGATAAATTATAGGAAACGTATCATGTTTCAGGTTGACGAATTTTCCGCTTTCACCAACATTATTTCTGATTTGTATTGGATACTTAAAAACTAAATTGACTTCAAGAGTAACGATTCAGAGTGGATGGATGGAGTCTTTATTCTTTCAACGCAACGTTTCGGTTCTGATGCCTGGACCTTGATGAAGGCACCAGGGTTGAAAGAATAAAGACGTCGAACCCATAAGCCAACTTGTCTTCATTGATACAGCAGCTAAATGTTAAACAATGCCATCTATATTCAAGAATAAAGCCACTGCTAATATTGATAATCTAATAAAAAAATATATACTGGTCACATGAATTATACGTGCTCTAAAGTATTATTTTGTATATTCTTCCTTTCCTTGCTCTTCATGTACGAAAAGGAGCACCCCGAAGGTTTCGACTTTTTAAATGATTCATTATCATCTCTTCATCTTCCAATATTACTTTTATATAATATAAAGTATGATTCACTAATTATTAAATGAAGGCAAAAATACTAAGCTTTGGCTTTCCTCTTATTCATATTTATATCTAACAATCACCTGACAGCTTCTTTATATTTTTAAAGAATATATACACACTCCTTGAACATTGAGAAGACGACGGAGAAGAAGAAGATGTAGAGGAAGATTTATGTTTTATTAGTTGTCACGTTCTGTGTAAGGGTGCAATGATATATGTTATGCCAATATAATACAACAATTTATTTATATGTTGCTCATGGCCGGTGGTAATTTTGTCTTTGGAAATCTTTGATCTCTCTTCTCGCTCAAATATCCAGTTTTTATAATAACTAAGAAGAAGCATAAAGCCCTGTTAATAGTGTTCTTTTCGTGGACGTGTTAAATACAGGCTGCACTGTTATTATTTGATAGATGGAGACGGAGATACCATCCTTTTGTTCCTCATCGCCTGGGAGGTGAACCATATACACCACATGTATGCGTCTTCGACGTGCAATGATACTTGGATGAGACGGCGTTCAGTGGTTGTCGGTGGGCATTATTACAATGCGTACTGATTGGTGTATACTGTTTAAAACACTGCAATGCAGAAATAATCTTCTCAAAGCATTCCTCGTTTGTAGCTTCATATTAGTCTGTATTAATCACTCTGTTAAAAATCAGTAGGGTTATTAACACAGAAGACCATGTCCACTGATCCTTCTGGAAATACGAACATTTTTTTATAATGAAACACTGTCTGATCTTGAGTATTTAATATGTTGGGGATAACATACAGCTTTTGGTGTTGGATAATTGTGTTATAAGGAATTACATATAGATATAGCGAACGCATTGTAATTTTATAATAATTCAGTAAGACTTTCAAGTCATGATTTGAAAACATTCTACTGCTGTCACAGTTTGATATATTTCAATCCCATATGTACAGAATAGGAATTATAAATATTGATGATGCTGACAAATCTTCATCAAATATACTTGTTCCATGATCATAAAGGAAAATGAGAACCTGTTGATAACAGGATAAAGTTCACTATAGGTGCCATGCTTGTCAACTTAGGTAATATTATTTGTTGTCAAACTTTATATAAAGGTATTTGAGTTTCTCAAGGTGCAAAGACATGTATGGAAACGTCAATGTACATGTATAAAGAAGGCAATATAGATGTACAAAGGGCAATCTATACACTTTACGCATGTCTTGACGCACGAAATAATGCAGTGGCAATATGTGAACGACTTGGGCAGACAATGAAATGGTCCTGTGTCGCGGGTTGGTGATGACTCATAGGAACAACAGTTTCTATTGATATTTCATCGCAACCGCATATAAGAAAATATACAAAAACGAAATACAATTGATAAACATACGCGATTAATGCACTCTCCGGTAGAATAAATGCATTCTTCGCACAAAGTGTTCTGATAATAAATTCGTAAAATCATAATGATCAATTGAGTGACGTGGAAACATTTTCAAATTTTAAAAAAATGTAACACTGACAGTGTGTTTTATGGCCCGAGGTATGATGCTGATGTAAGATGGAGCACAACGATATAGATTATTCAATTCATTTATAAATATATTAGAAATGTTCGTTGTATATGTATGATATGTTAAAAAAGCATACATACCTGTTTAAAATGATGTCTTAACACGAATTACTATGATAATCTTAAGTACATTAGTCATACACAATCTATGTGACATAACATTCAATTACTCAAACGTTTCAACAAGAAGGTTATCAAGACTTTGTTTATTTTACTTTTTGAACTGTTTGATTGGCATTTTTAGAAGTTGGCAAGTAATCGTAAGAATATGGTATTTTATTTATGACAATTTTTTTTATTCTATTATGTTGCGACGTGTTGGTATGATCCTTATACCGTTGTCAAGCAAGAGTCTTACATCATAATAGAATAAGAAAGTCGCATCATAGTAGAATAACGAAGCTGTCATCCATACAATGTATTATCTTTTCTGGTATTTTACTTTTTGTAAATACTGATTTCATAGGCCCACCGTGACTTAATCCCTTGTTATGACATAGTACAAATGAGGTATATATGTATGATAACATGATTGTTATCTTCCACCAATCACAATTTATTCCATCACTTATATACCCAGGGAAACATACGTTTCCTGAGTTAATGCATCTTGGGACAGGTTACACATTAATTGGACCCCGAAAGAAAGAAATATCTCCGATATCTACATCCAGGTAACTACTGCCTGTTATTGATTTAAATCGTTATGATGCTATATTATTTGTGAACAGCCAAAATGTTAAGTATGTAACCTTTCTATAAACATAAAACAAGGTTGTTGTTTTTTAATCTAGTAGTTAGTCAAAATGAGTTTTATAGTACAGCAAACATTTAAGGAGTTTTAACAACACGTATGAAAAAATTAATGAGGACGCCATTACTCTAAATCCCTTGGCCCGTTGTAACGTCAATTGCCGTCAACTCACCTGCAGGCACAAACACCTTGGGTAGAACTTTCTCCGTGCACGTCACCTCCCCGGGGGTAGGGGAGAAGCTGGACTGACGGAGGGGTGGTTGTTTCCTCTGAGGTAGGTAAGGAGAGCCTGGAAAGTTATACATGACGTTGTCACCTAGCGTCGAACGCCCCATAAGCTGAGGGGCACTTTTCCGTGGATCATTTCCGATAATTTCCGTCACGGAATTCGAGTTGTCTGGAGCAGGATATCCATGTCTTGGGGGATGGGGAAGATTATCCTGCAGTCTCTTCACGGTAGGTACCCCCGAGGAAATTAACTTATCGTCTCTGGCAACAATCCCCGGGGTGAGGCCTTTGGGCTGTGAGTCCATCCACCCCCTTGCCCCACCCCCTCGGTCCGCTGGCTCCATCTTGACTCTGGAATACTGGGAATAGGTTGTCATGGTGTCGCGTGCACCCACCTGCAATGTGTCAACACCGCTGTACCTTTCCCCGTGGTTGACAGGCGCCAAGCTCATAGAAATCTTTTCCTGCCTAAGGCACGCGTCACCAATGTTAACTTGGTCGTAATTTCCGTAGACAAAATTCGCTGGCGTAAACATGAGCTACGACTTGTACGGGAGAAGGAAATATCGCAAATGTTTAAACAAAAACGTTTGATCGGGGGGTTTAATATTAATGCCAGTGTTAGCGTATCACGCGAGCGATAGGAAGGCGAGGCGGGGACAATATCCGAGAGTTTCCGCTGAGAGGAAGCTATTCATAGTAACGGCGACGGACATGGCACGAGATTGCCCGAGGCTGGCTGATTGGTGCTGGCTCGTGTTGGCACCCTCTTAGAAACATGGACGCCATTGTCAGACTTTAACAAACTATGCATGGTCAGGTATACATTTTTAAAGATATTTTTTAAAACTTTCCTGTCACTTACATAAACATTTGGAACAGCTTTTATAACTGTACTATTTTCGATGTTCATTAGAAAGCACCAAAACAATGGGTTGATATTAAATCTGTTGGGGTTGAGTAAAGCATCCCTATTTTTGTAAGGTCGACGATAGGGCTGTAAAAGGTTTGTTTTGGTGAGTGCGTGGGACTTTGGGTGCGGTTTTCAGATTTACTGCGTACTTGTTTTCATGGAGAAGATAAAAAAAAGAACTTATTAAAATTACTCTCAAAACTGTGGATGTAATATGAAACGGGTAGACAACTCCACATTCTACGCTGTAATTTTTAAGATTTGTGATCTCCGGAAAATAGGGAAACAATTGATTTGGTCATTGGGTAACAGAACATTAATCATTTGTTTGTTTTGTATAGGCCATTAATCAGAACAGCAGCTCCATAAGCAGTTATTATATCTACGTCTATAGTAAGTCTGTACTGGCGGGATCTTCACATGTCCAACAGCCATCACAGCTATGGCTTAAATGCACTCGACTGGATCTATTACGATCTACTATTGCAGTCTTAACAACAATAACAGCATCGGCTTCCGTAAGTAGCAGAGGTTGCTTGTGAAATTGGGCATAATTACATCGAGGGTTCTCCCCTTGTCTCGAAGTCATGGACTGTTTACATTTCCAGATACATGTATGCAATGTGTTCGGCATAACCTTGAAATGTCAAGTCGACAGTACCTAACCGCCCCGTGGAGTATTCCTGGGGGCGGCGTTAGGCAACAAACAAAGACTAGTCTTTCTTTGCAAATTGTGGCGGGTTCTAGCAGGACAGGTAGAGCAGGACATGCTTACCCTTTTCGTGAACACCTGGTGTCCTCACTGATTGTCAGTTATCCATTCACACAGTTTCATCACTATTTTGCCTTTTACACCCAATAAAAAAGTTTGGGCGGATAATCGAGATTATGTCTTTTTTATTGATGTTTTGAATTTAGAATAGGTCCACTCTTTGCTTATCGTTAACGTCGATTACATGGATCGCCTGGTCAGGCTTGGTGATTTGCTCGAGTGCATGTCATCATACCCCGACGGCTTGGGACGTTGCTCATAATATCAATCACCGTTTGTCGTGATATAAATGGAATATTGCTGGAAGGAACCGTCAACATAATGAGATAAACAAACCATATTTACAGTAGATAAACACTGGATTCTATTACATGGTTTTGTCAATGACGTACATGTACTCATGCTATCAACCAGTGGTGTGTCAAGCCCAAACTCGATCTTTCAGGACCGCCGTGATATCTATGGGAGCTGCAACGCTGGCTAACGCGGCACAAAACAACATTCACTCACCCACATAGGGTCAACGGGCCCATTGCATATCCGTGTTAGACATGTCTGTCGTTGAATTATATGTTTTACATCAAATTACCGATTTGACGAGACATATGACCCGGTTCATTTCCCAGCAACGCTGCACCAAACACTACTTTCATTTAAGAAAAATACCTCAAATATACATTATTGATAAAACAATTATTCTATTTAGACGTCCCGAGAACTGCGTTTAATGGACTTGATTGAACATGTAACTTCACTAGAAAGAACCCGTTGTGAGCACAGGGTGCTGTTTGTCCTCGAACATGTGTTACTGCGAAAATCGGAGAAGTGGGGAAATATCTTTTAGTTATCACAACACAATGTGCACTTTATAAATTGTATAAAAACATAGTTTGGATTCCGCTATGCTTCCAATAACACCGAGAGGGTGGATCCGGCTTGGGTAATGGATACGCTCAAGTCGGATTGTCGCGATGTAATGTTAGCTTGCCCAATACGTGTCAACAATTACAAACAGCCGAACATAAATGTCAAGACACGCAAAAATCAAAACCATACTTTCTACAGAGTACATTATGTCACTCAATGATGCCGTGTGTATGTAGAACCGAGTACACGGGGATATCATACACGACCAGCTCGGAATGTTTTTTATCGTGTTGGGTTGATGGCACAAAAATGACTCATTTGTAAGTCATTTTCGTGATATTGTCAGGAGTAAGTGGGTTTAACGACGCTCTTAACAAGTGTGTTGTATTTCGGTTATGGGAGTGAGAGAGTGAGCATGGTTTTACGCCGCTTTTAGCAATATTACAGCAATATCACGCGGGGAAGACCGGAAAATGGGACTCACATATTGTACCCATCTGGGGAATCGAACCCGGGTCTTTGGCGCCACGAGCTAACGCTTTAACCACTAGGCTACCCCACCGCCCCTATTTCGGTTATATACTAATGGGTTGAAAGCCGTACATGATGTAGGTCTTAGACGTTTACAAATTTGGTAATCAACAATGGAGAGTACGGGTAGGAGGCTGACCAACCAAGGAACATAATCAGAGCGAATCTTGGAGTCGAAACCACAATCGTAGGTTTCAGGCACGCCTAATGGATGGAACTCCTTAGAGCAAATGGTGGCGCTCTAGACGACTCACGCCCCTGACTTAATGAGGAAGTACATCTGGTGTTTGGAAAATATCAAACATATTGATAAAAGTTAACAAAGATAATTGGTTTTATACTTTCTGTGATAACCTCAATTGGTTGCATATCAAAAGCGCTTTTACAATGGTGTCCGGCGCTGATCGGTAGTGTCCGGCAGTTTTGGACCTCCAATAATACTTGAGATGATAATTACAGAATTAATTTCGGTTTGTAGATTCGATAAATATATCTATATCTATCAAGAGCACGTGTTTATGAATCACTATCAAACAGTGAGGATACCATGCCTTGGTGTATGCGAAAAGGTGGGCGTATCCTGCCCACATCGGTGACAGCAGTCACAAACACGTGCAAAGGTAAGTCAATTGTTCATCTGAAAAAAATAACACGGGAACATACGTAGGGAAATGCTTCGGACATTAGTGTTGTCACTGATGCCTCAAATTTGGAATAGTCCACCACATGTCTTCAATAAAACATTTTGAAAGCTTTATTGAAGCCTTAAATGTTGCAACCGGGATGAAACATCTTTTGACCAAGAGTCGTGTGACACTCTTTGAAATCTTCGAAAATAAATGCGACAAAATCCTTTCCATATTCATAAGAAATATCCGCCAAAATCAGAGTCGATTGTACGATTCCGACTATATCTTGAGCATGTGTTTATGAATCCCCATCACATAGCCATGATGCTAGGTGTTCGCGATAAGGTAAGCGTATCATGCCCAACCGGTGGCATCCGTCCCAAACACATGCAAAGGCAAGTCAATTCAACTGAAAAAAACACACGGGAACACGTCAAAATAGGGAATTGCATCGGACATACTTTTTGTCACTGATGCGTTAAATTTGGAAATGTCCTCCACATGTCTACCCTAAACAAATTGAAAGTTTTACAGAGGCCTTGAATGTTGTAACCTTGATCGAACAACTTAGCAAGGGTCGTAAACGATGTTCTTTGAAATCTTGGTAGAAAGAGCACGCTCGATTGTACATGTACCTTAAACGTTGTGAGACGCAAACACCAAAGGCTGGAGCTGCTGGAATATTGTTCAACAGGAAGGGAAAGTTGACTATTGGAAAGTTGAAGTCATCCCTCTTGTTGTGCAGTCTTGAGGAGAGTGTTTTGTCACTCTAAATCTCTATTCATACATCTAAATATAAAACAAATGAGGTGGTCTCACTGATCTTCTGTATGTCCAGTTCAGGTGGGTAAATCAGTGGAAGGGAATTGGCTATTTGATTGTTGTTAATCCATCGATATCAGATCATCGATATACTTGAAGCTTAAGTTAAACTTCTTGGCCAAATACATTCGTTTGACTTTGCCAAACCGAACAGAAATTCTTATCTATAAGCTAAAAGAACAAGATCAGCCGGAAGGGGAGCACACTGTGTACCTACAGTAAACTACGGTTATAACGAACACGCTTATAAGGAACTGACGGATATAACGAACTTACTTTTTTGGTCCCGACTATTTGCTGTAGTTATGCTGTATATATGCTTATAACGAACTACGGTTATAACGAACTAAAATTAGTAGTCCCTTGGAGTTCGTTATAACCGTAGTTTACTGTACTTCTTCCCTAAATTTTTACCCCAAAATTTTATATAGATGTTATAAATTTGGAAGTCCAGCATTTCAAATACTGTTTTCTCAGATAGCGTCAGATAGCATTTGCTTTGACAAACTGGCCTCCAGACAGATATGTAAGTGTAGCTATGGTCACCAAGTTTTGTAACAAAAATCTCATGTATCAAGGAATGAATTTTGTCCTAGGTTTGTCATGTGGGGTAGTGGTGTACAAACTTGATTCTTGAACTTGGTACTTTTCTGAGATTGTAAAAAGTCAAGCACATTTGTTAGCAAATCTTTAAAAAGAGCGTGCTCGATTGTACCTCCAGAGTTGTGAAATGTTTACTATTGGATAGTTGAAGTAAAAAACCTGCCCCCCAAAAATGTATTAGATCACATAGTGTCGTCGTAGTGTTGGTTATGAGCAGTTTAAGTTCAAATGCACGGCATTATCTCGTTAATATAAAAGTACCATTGCAGTGAATGCACCACACATGATGCACTATGTGCTAATTTAGTAAATTTGTGGTTCAATTGTCATTTGATGTGTTTGCAGTACGTAAAGAGTGAGTTAAAGTGAGACACTGAAAGTATACTGACCAGTAATTAGGGACATTTGTTTATTATTAATTTCGGAAATGTTACTTTAAACGTACGTGGGT